GGAATCAGCACTTTGCGTGTTAAGTGCTCCAACCTGACCTAGGTGCTTCACAGACTCAAGGCACTGGCCCTTCAGATACTCCACCATTTAAGTTAGACATGAGCTCCTAGAAACCAAAAGAGTCCGGGTGAAGGAGTGAGGAAAGAGGGGTTTCCAAACTGAACTGATGTTGATTTTTTTTTATCAGAAATGCATGTGGAGGTTTATGATGGGAGCATGATTTCAAAGGGGAAAGCATAGTGTAGTTTGAATGGAACTAGAACTAATCATTTCCAAGACAGTGATTCATGGTGATTGGTTTAATCTTCTTGCCTGATTGATTGAAGCTATTGGGGACACTGTCACGTATGGGGGTGGTATTCAGCACATTGGGCAGTAAGTCATATACCCCAGGTCCCTGACTTCCAGGCCAGTACCCCTAGCTTTGAGTCATGCTGACTGCCTGGTGGGAATGTGCTTGTAAGAACTTAAGGTATGTCTACACTACCCCGCTATTTCGAACTAGCGGGGTAATGTAGGCATACCACAATTGCAAATGAAGCCCGGGATTTGAATTTCCCGGGCTTTATTTGCATAAGCCGGGCGCCGCCATTTTTAAATCCCGGCTGGTTCGAACCCCGTGCCGCGCGGCTACACGCGGCACGAACTAGGTAGTTCGAACTAGGCTTCCTAGTTCGAACTACCATTACTCCTCATTCCACGAGGAGTAACGGTAGTTCGAACTAGGAAGCCTAGTTCGAACTACCTAGTTCGTGCCACGTGTAGCCGCGCGGCACGGGGTTCGAACCAGCCGGGATTTAAAAATGGCGGCGCCCGGCTTATGCAAATGAAGCCCGGGAAATTCAAATCCCGGGCTTCATTTGCAATTGCGGTATGCCTACATTACCCCGCTAGTTCGAAATAGCGGGGTAGTGTAGACATACCCTTACTGGGTTAATTTAGGAGCCACTGCTTTCAGAAATGGAGGCCAGCATTGATCATTGCTGGATTAGCTGTACACTTAACCCTGTGGTATCCACATATGCCTCTGTGCTCTCCTTACTCCTCCCTGTCCCACACTGCAGTAACTAGATTGCCACCCCTTCAGAAAGAGAGACCAAGGGGAAAGGATGAAAAAGAGAAAATGTAACTTCTTTATAGTGAGAGGAGGAGGTTTGTGTGCTTGCATCATAGGACAACAGGAAACAATCAGGAAGGTCCGTATTGCTTATTTTCAGGATTGCCAATATTTACAATCTGACAGTGTATTTTGCCACATTTGTTTTTTTCCCTTGAAGCCCCAGCTCCTGGAGTCAAGTGACTTTGTGAGATTTTTGGATTTAATTTCTAAAAATACAATAAGCTTCCTCATGGTTAGGGAGGTAAGGTGAGGAGGAATCTTGAAAATATGAGCCCTTCATTCAAAATCTGAAGGCAAATAAAATGTGCAGATCTTATAGTTTAAACATCACATGATTTTAAAGCCATCTCATAACTTTTGAAAATAATCCTGATTTTTTTTTTAACATTTGAAGTTGGAGTAGTGGCATGGCTCAAGCCCCCCGCCCACCTTTTTTTAACACCTGCTTGTTTCACTAAGGGTACATCTACACTGCAATTCTATTTCCGGATACAAAAGGTATCCCGAAATAGCTACCCTGCATCTTTTGAACACTGTGACATGCTGTTTTCTGCTTCCCTGTAAACCTCATTGCACGAGGGATAAGGGTTATTTTGAAATAGTGTTTTATTTTGAAATTTGGCACTGTGTGGACATGCCAAATTTCAAAATAGCCTATTTCGAAAAAGAATCAAAATAAGATCCGCAATTTGCCTAATGCAAATTGCGTATCTTATTTCAAGCTAAGGGTGCAGTGTAGACACACCCTAAGGGTGCATCTACATAGCGCAGTTACTTTGAAATAACTTATGTTATTTCAAAATAACAGTTCAAGCGTCTACACAGCAATTCCATTATTAAATAACAAATGGCTTATTCCAACTTCTGTAAACCTCATTTCACAAGAATAACACCTATTCCAACACTACACGTGGCAGTGAAATGGGCGTTCGAAATAAAACCCTATTTCAAACTACCTGTTAAACCTCATTTCAGGAGGAATAACAGGTAGTTCAAAATAGGGCTTTATTTTGAATGCCCGTTTCACTGCCGTGTGTAGACACGGGCAGTTATTCCAGGCTTGTAAATTTCAAAAATGGTGCCCGGCCGGGAAGATGAAAATCAAGCGCGGGATATTTAAATCCCGGGCTTGATTTGCAATTCTGAATGCCTATATTTGCAGCCCTATTCTGAAATAGGCTGCAAGTGTAGACATACCCTTAGTGATCTTCATTCACTTTTTATTAAGTGATGATTAAGGCCCCTGCATTTCCCCCATTCACAGACAGGCAGAGAGGAAACTGTGATGTAACATCACCAAAGATTAAATATCAACCAAGTTCCCCCCAAATGTATGAGGAATGAGGAGTGAAATATTAGTAGACTACATATAAATGGACTCTCCATTCACATGCTCCAGTCAGTCTGTTGCAGCAGTATAAGCAATGGAAGTGCCAAGCTTCTGTTCACTACTGGGTGTCTTCTGTCCTCCGTGATTCCTCAAAGATGTTTCATTAATGCATCTCTGCATAACATTGATCAGTCTCCCATATTCATATAGTTTCAATCCATGCAGAGGGGGAAGACTGGTTCTTTGGGCCCCTCTCCCATTGGTCTGTGTACATTGTTTGCAAATAGGCTAGAGGTAGCAATGAAAGGGTTCGGGGAAAGGAAATTCTAATCTTTGTTCAAATCTTGAGGATAAGTGGACTCTTGCTCTGTGTTGGCTTCCTTCAGTGTAGACCCTAAGAGAAGGTTCTGAAGGCAGATGATCCGCCAGGAAATGAGTTTGCTGTGGTAAAAAATCCACAGCCTCCCTGTACTGGGAGATTAAGGGTTTTGCTGGCTAGAAAATGGATCAGCCATGTTATGCCCTCATCCCACCAGTGGCTCTCACACATGGAACCTGGCACTAAGTCCAGAGGCATCTTTCCACTGACTTCAGTGGGCTTTGGATCAAGCCTTTGGAATTCCTATGGAGTTTCAGTGGATGTGAAAGCTACAGATGCTGGTGGAAAATGCAAATAGAAACAGCAGTGAAAGTGCCACTACTCACCCTTGGTGTGAATGCACATTATGATGCTTCTCTGCACCCCCTTAAGTGAGTAATGGTCATTGGAATTAATTATTCATATCACAGGTTTCTGAGGTTTTATTTTTAATTCATGCTGAATGCTTCAATTTTAACCTTCAGGATACTGGAAAGGGCAACAGTACATCCCAAAATCATGTTCCTATCATTCTGATCTTCTGTGGTAGCCTCCATCTTAGCTAGAACTGGGGCCTGACTCAGGGCTTTCCAGACTTTAATACATGCGTTTCTATGGCTTGAGGTAAGCAGACAGGCTCTGCAGCTGAGGGCGGTCACAAACTTTGTTGCATAGCTCCCATTGACTTCAATGGTGTTCTTTCAATGGGTCATGTTTTTCCTCATTCCTATGCTTTCAAAAAATTCCCAGAGACAAGATTTTTATTGCATTTCTCCCCTTCTGAATTATCTTCCCTTCTCTCCCTTTACTGAGTCATGCTGGAGCTACTTTATTTGGCCACGTTGCATCAAGAAAGCCCTTCTGAGTCCCCCTAGAAGTCACTAGGAATCTCTTATGGGAGCACCCAGGCCGATGAGTTTGCCTCAAAGGGCTTTCATTTTTTCCTCTTAAGTGCTTTAAAAAGATGCTTTTATGGCATTGTGTCTAAGTTTTATAATTTAGTTGTTTGCTGTGTTGTGCAATGCCTGGAGCACTTCCCTGGGGGGCCCTTGATAAATATTGCTCTGTTATAATACTGTTTTTAAGCTACGTAGCCAAATGAAGACACCGTTGAAATTTTTTGACCCCGTTATTCATATCAGTGTCCATCTGCAGCAGGCACTCTTTGGCCAAATTTGCTGTGCAGCCAACATCCTGCAGAACGGATTTACATGTAATATTTGTTTTTCCTACTTTTTTTATAGGTCTAACACATGTAATTTTGAGTTTTCAAAATATCCAGTGTGTAATGTCTAGCTTATTTCATTGGCAAATGCTTTGACTGTCTGTGTTTCTGCCCCCATCGTTTTGAAATTCAATATAAATAGAGGCTCCTTTAGGAGGTTTCTGGAGACAGGGGAAATGTCCCTTGGGAATCCTTCCATCCCTGAGCCCTAGGGATCCCTTAGTTTGACTCTGTCCTTTGACTCTGAAATCTGATCTGGCTCAGCCATCCTTCCAACCACAGGGCACTGACTTCTGAGCTTATCAATGCCATTCCTGAACAAGCTAGAGCATTTGCTGTTGCTGTTGAAAGATGTGAAACATTTCCTCTCCCTTAACAGAAATGCCTCCAAAGCACTTGCAAACCCAACTGACTCAGACAGCAAGAGAGCAGGAACAGAGGCTCTTTTCTTTCCCCCACAAAATGATCTGACTAATTTCAATAATTATTTGTATTCCATAGTGGGAGGATTAGGACCCAGCTGGTGTAAATCATCTTCAACTATGGAGCTATATCAGTTTATTCCACATGAATATGTGGTCCCAAGTAACCTACATTGCAATCAGTGAATTGCTACTGGACAACCAAACTGGTTCAGTGACCACTGGCTACAATTTCACCCTTCATTCTGGTTTTTAATAGTAGGGATTCATTTTAACATTTTTATTCACTGAAGAGGTTCATAATCGTAAGTCCAAAGAGGGGAAGAGGCAGAGAAAAATGAGCATGTCTACTTAACATGTAACATCCAAATATTTTTTAAAAAAGAAATAAACCTGACAAGAACAGAATATGAGTAAATCACCTTTTTAAAAAAAAGAGTGCGAGAAACTCTCCACACTAGGTTCCTGGCAGATAACTATCCAAATCAGACATACATAGAACTCTCCTTCTGGCTAATAAAAAGCAACAAGCATTATGATTTGGACTAAGCAACAGCAGGGTTATTTTTTCTTAAACTGTATCCTTCATATGAGAAACTAAAATATTTATTGGGGGAACTGCAGGAACGAAATCGAGTATTGGGAGAAGATGTTTGTCCATTTACAGTGATCCTAGAAGAGAGAATACAGAGAAAACGCATTAAGAAGCACTTCACATTTTTTCCTTTTCTTTAACCCAACCCAATCTCATATCCACAAGGGACAACCTCCTTTGATCATTCCAGATCCATATTGACATGTCCCATGCCATGCTTCACTCTCTAATCTTTCAGCACTGTGCACACTGAACACATTGCAGTACATACATTCATTACCGCTCTGAGCCAGAAACCACGCATACCATACCAGAGACCACAACTAGATAGAAGTCACTGGTCAAAGATCTTTTACATTTCTTTTCTGCTGTTTCTGCTGCCTCTAGAGGAGACATTGATTTGTCCAGAGAATTAAGCTGAATACTCTTGCATTGTACTTTGCTTCCTTACATTTTGGTGGAGCCATGGGAATGTAGGGATGAGAACTGGCTTATTCTTTTTACTCAACCAGCGGACCTTGTGTGTCTGCCTCATGCTCTGTTACTTTGCCTCTGGTTACCCATCTCAAATGAGAGAGTAGCTGGAAAAGACAGAATAGCACAGAACACATGTCATGACTCAAAGTGCAAGAGACCCTAAAGAGCAGAGCAGGTCCAGTTGTGCACTGTGACATATGGAGAATTGGTGTATCAAGTGACAAAATTATATACACTCTGTGTAATATAGTTCTGCAACAGGGTGTTATTTCACTACATTTGGGTCAATGAATTGTAGCATACTATTGCTTTGAGATTTTGAACCATTAGAAGGGAAATAATGTTGATTTGAAAGAAAGAAGGGGGGGAAGCAAAGGGTGTGTTGAAGCACTGAAAGAGTTGTGTTTAGCACTACCCAGGCACCTCTATTGTGTTTTTTAGTATGCAACGTTTTAGAGCAATGCTGGCACAGCTTGTCTCATTAGTGGCATCAGTCAAACTGATACTTCCAGAGGAACCTCCAGTTCAGTGTTCACAGTGCTTATCCTTGTATCAGGCCTGTGTAAACACAGAAACCTTTAAATGATCTTAAGCAGTCTTGCTCCAATTCCATGAGAGAGAGCATTACCTATGACGCTCCATGAGACCGCAACCAGTAGGACTGAAATTCCATGACACACAGAGTTTGGGCTGAAATAAATCATTATCATAGCCCCAATTGCTCAGCTTGTTCCATGTATTGATGGTACCGAGGGCACAGGGCCATTTTGTGAAGCCACACCCACTTTTGCTGAGGCCACACCCCTTTCTTGCAGGCTACAAATAGGTATATACAAAAGAAGCACCTCAAGAAACGCAGTGAAATGACAATCATAACAGATCATCATTTGAGGCAAAGAAAATTGTTCTCCTGGCTGACTTAAGAATGTTTGGGGCTTGAACCCAATGCTGGTTCTTTAGGCGGTGTGTCCCTAACATTACATTTGTTAGAACTCAGACTTGATTTCATGGAAGTCAGCAAGAAGCTTGCCGTTGACTTCCATGAGCCTTTAACTAAGTCAGCTTTGTGGATTGCATAAGATCACATGGGGTTATATCATAAGCAGCTTGAGAAAGGCTCATTATCAGGTCTCCAAAGGAACTGTGTTCTTTCCTGCTTTCGCACTCTGTAAAATAGCAATTCCAATAGTCATAAGGGGAGGGTGTGTGATGTGTTTTGTTTCAGTTAACAGATGAAATTCAGGAGATCGACTACTGTATTAAGTAGCTGATAATCTCAGAATGGGAGTGGTAGCATACTCATGCAATACTACCCACGTAGTTACCACTGGAGGCTTTTAAATAACTAGAGACACTCACACCTTAGATTTCTTTCATTTTTCAGAAGGCATCAAGCCATGTTTTCTCTGCTCTTTTTAATCCAGAGTTGTTTTATTAGCCCCAGTAACCTATTCTAATTCCAGTATAGCCAACACCATTCTTCATGATGCATTTTCGAAAGGATATGGTATTGTAAGACATATTTGAAACCATTACTATTATTATGCAGTGTTACTCTGCTCTGTTGAACAACTGCCAGGTTCTGCCCCAGAAATGGCTGAATTTCAGTGATGATTTCTGGATATATAAAATTTGTAAAATATTTTCCTCTGGGATGAAAAGTGCTATATGATTATGAACTACATTGGGGGGGGGGACAGACATCTGATTTTGATCTTATTTTTAAAAGTTTTATACTGGAGTGAATCGACTAACAAGAAGGGACTTATTTCCAGTGTACTTTTGGTTTCCCTTTAATTACCTATCATGATTCTCAGCTGGAAATTGGTATAGTTCCATTGAAGTTAATGGACCATATTACTTTATACCATCTAAGAATCTGACTCATACTATTTATGTGATTATACTAATAAAATAGTGTGCATGTGTATGTAAACATCCTAATATACTATGTTGCTAATTATTATGTTTACTGACTAATAATAAATTAAGAATGAAAGTAGTTCATGATAGACATCTTATGGACATAAGTCATTCCAGTGACTTGGTTTGGTGGACTGGTATTAGCTGAGGCCTAGAGATATCACATTGTCTACATTTTTTGTATTCTAACCTATCAGCATGTGTCAGAGTCAAATTTATGTCTGAAACTAAGTTTGGAGTTTGATCCAGGTTAAAATACTGCTATTAACTAATGAACTGGACTAAGAAGAATGAGAAGTCTGCTCGTATAGTTGGTGCGTAGGTAGTAAAGAAAAGTTAAAAGATTGGTTTCTTTGTTGAAAATAGATTATAGAAGGATTGACCACAGATTGTAAGTATTAATTTCAATCCTTCTTTGAGTCTAAAAATATCTGGGCAAGTGGTGCTGTTGAATATTTCAGTAGGATTTGGAAGAAAGATCTGAAAGAAAAGCTCATCCCAGAACAAGTTTTGAACAGCTGTAAGGTGTATTTTCCTATAGTCATGTGATGCTCACTAACTTGTCTGAATGGTAGCAAGTTTAAATGGCTACTACGTCAGCTGAAGACAGCTGCCTAGGATGATTCAGGATGGGTTACATGGACGGTCAAAGTAGGAAGAGCATAGGATAAATATATTTGGTTCTACTAGGAGTTATTTCCAAATTCCATTTGGCGGATGGTAAATTGACGTCTAGTGGTATTTAAATTCAGCTAAGCCTTTCATTTAGCATGCTGCTGCTCTAAGAGTTGTGACAAGAGCTTGGAGAATAAATCACTATCAAGAAGTTCCCTGGTTTATTTAACCTCTTATTTTGCTCATTGAATATTTGTGAGCAGTTTTCAGTTTCTTTGTATGAGTCTATTAAGTGATTTTTGCATTTAATGCTGTGGCGGATAGTCATACAAAAATTCAATATTCTGTTTTGCTTCATAAGTCATGATGGTTAGCTGTGATAGCGTTGGCAAAGGCACATGTTCTTGGTTTTTTGTTTCCTCTCTGGATGAGTGCAGAGAGATTTTCAGTACACGTGCTTGTGTATGTTATAGTTTGTTTAAAATGAGTACAAATGGAACTCCTTGTCAGAGGATGTTGTGAAGACTAGGACTTTAATAGGGTTCAAAAAACAACTTTACATAGATTCATGGAGATTAGATCCTCCAATGGCTATTAGCCAGGATGCTAGGAAAGGTGTCCCTAGCCTCTGTTTGTCTGGAAATGGTTGACAGGAGAGGGATCATGTGATGATTACCTGTTGTGTTCCCTCCCTCTGGGGCATCTGGTATTGGTCACTGTCAGCAGACAGAATATTGGGCTAGATGGACCTTTGGTCTGACCCCATATGGCCATTCTTATGTTATGTTCAGGTGAAGGTGACTTTTTGAATTTTGATGTCCACAAACTTTGTTTATGTGAGTAAAATTGAATTAGATGGAAAGCAAATACAAAGTGAATGCAAGCAGGCCCAAAGCTTATTTGTTTTAACAATTCAGACGTATCTTCTTTTTGCCACTTCCCTATTTGGGGTTGATGACATTTTTTTATATCCTCTTTCCAAATCTGATTGTATGGCAGGCAGTAGCGCAAATAAGTCTTGCTAAGAACTGTTAATGTCCAATACACGTACCAAGTCTTTGACTCCCCCTGGGTTGTCGTCCATTCATGATCATTGCAAGTGACATCCTATTGATGCTGAACATGTCCATACCAACATACCTTAGCCACCCTAAATTGTCTTCAATTGAGGCAACCCACACCAGGCTCCTCACACTTTCATTTTGTTCCTATTGTGGGATCCACAATTATTTGATGATCTTCATTTCCATCATGGAGAGCATACTGATTTCCTTTCTTGTGGCTGTCTGTGATGGGGCATATCCACCCTGCACTGGTCAGGAGTGGGTTAACTCAGCCCGGAGGGTAGGGAAGGTCACACCCCCTTTAGCTTACTGGGCATGCTCCGGCTGCACTAGTATAAGAGAGAGATGCTCAGTTCAGTTGCGGCAGATGGCCAGAGGGGAAAGAGCTCAGGACGCAGCTCATGAGCAGCCCCTGCAGCAACAGCCGCTTCAGGAACAGCAACTCCAGCAGCAGCAGCTGCAACCACAGCCTCAGCAACCACCCCAGTCAGTGAGGCCATCTTGGTGACACCAACTCACCAAACAACACTACTAAGACCACACTGCACACTGAGAATGGTAGGAAGTTGCCCAGGGTGGAGGATTGTTCTCCGGGAGCTCAGTGCACTTCTGCTGGAATCCCTGCTGAGCAGGCAGTGAAATCCCCCACTGCCAACAGGGCCTTGGGCTGGGACCCAGTGGAGTGGGAGGGCCCGGGTCTCCCTATCTTCCCCAACCCCACGGTAACGCCACTCCCAGGGTCCTTGGGAGGCTTACCTTTGCACTAGGCCTGCAGGGCTGACCGTATCCTGAGAAAGGGAACTGTACAGGAGGCCCCCAGCTAGCGACCCCTGAGTTCCAATCCCCCGCACTTACAACCATTTTTGTAAGTGCGGACGGGGCTGAAAATCCCCGACTTACGTCCTCAGCCCTCATTTATTACAGCTCATGGCGCCTACCATAAATGAGGGTTCGAGTTACAACACCCCCAATTTGTGACACTTCCCCAAGAACCAGTCACGTTGCAAGTCGGAGGCCTCCTGTACTTTGGGTCTAGGCCTGTGGGGCCATATTTGCCCTAGTAGAGGGAACTATACTTTGGGATTAGGCCAATGAGGCCGTATTTGCCCTAGTAGGGGACATTGTATTTTGGGAGTAGGCCTGTGAGGCTCTATTTACACTAATAGGGGAAGCTGTACTTTGGGATTACTGGCAGTGGGTGCCCTGGGGATGAGGACACCCCTTGACACTGTCCAAATCTCAGTTCCGTATAACAGGATGGGTTTAACTAGTTGTATGCACTCTGCCTTTTAACTTCAATGGTATCTCATTCTCACAGAGAGCTGGAGTTGGCTCCACTATTTTGAACGAGACACCAGATCACTCAGCAAGGACACCATTGTGAGCAGCAATTGATCCTAGGTACTTTAAATCATTATCTTTTTTTGATGGGGCCTCCTCCCTCAGTTAAAATACCTCAGTCTATCAACATTTACTCTAAGTCCTGCACACTCTAAACGGTTTCCACTGTTCAAAGTCAGTCTGCAGATTTTTACCTCTTCTGAATATATCATGAAGTTATCAATAAACTGCATACTCCAACCCATGACATCTGAAGACAAATCACAGCTCAATGCTGACCCTAAAGCAGGTCAATGTTTACTGGAAATTCTCTGTTACAGCCCCATTGGGTTGTTTTACTTCAGTAACCACTCCAGACATGTGCTGGATAAGATTTCTATATCATATTAGCATACTTCTCCTTCACAAACTCCACCAATTAATTTTCGTGATATACTAATGCATGCCTTCTCCAAGACCAACAAAATACTCAGTTGCTATCTAAGGGTATGTCTACACTACCTCCCTAGTTCGAACTAGGGGGGGTAGTGTAGTCATACGGAGTTGCAAATGAAGCCCGGGATTTGAATTTCCCGAGTTTCATTTGCATAAAGCTGGCCAGCGCCATTTTTAAATGCCGGCTAGGTCGGACCCCGTGCCGCGCGGCTACACATGGCATGGACTAGCTAGTTCGGATTAGGCTTCCTAATCCGAACTAGCTGTACACCTCGTTCCACTAGGGGGGTAGTTCGAACTAGGGGGGTAGTGTAGACATACCCTCTTTGTTCATAGGCCACACGTGGCATCAACTGTAGTCATCCAGGCTTAAGTCCATATTCACCCTCCTAAATTTCAACTATTCCATGCAGACCTTTCCAGGAATTTTCTCCCATACTTTCTTAACTCATCGATGTAATTGGTTGATAATTAGCAGAGTGTAATATCTCCTTTATGCTTAAAAATTGTTACCACACATGTTTACACCATTCATATGTCATTTTCTCTTTCTTAAGAATATTATTGAACAGACATATAAAATAACTTGAATGTCTTTTCTTCCCTGTGACATGAGCACATACACTGTACTTCAGCAGACTCAGGTGCCTTCTGCTTTTTCCATTTACCTAAGTGCCTTTTCTAAGTCTCTTCCCCCTGCATGCAATCTGTCATACCCCAGTTTGGCTTGTGTGGTCTTAGTTCCTCCCTTGGGTTCTCATTCATCATTCTTTCAAAATAATCACTCCAGACTATGTTGATTTATTCACCATTTGTTTGCAATACACTGTGTTCATTTGTAATATGTGCAAATCCACTCACCTTCCGTGTCTCTTTCTTTCTTGCCTCAGTGAATTGGTAGATGGTCTTTTCTCCCTTGCATCCTCCTTTTGACATCTAGCCCTTCACATCTCAAAGGTTTTGATGTTGCAATGCTTACGTTGTCCTCCTTTTTTTTTTTTTTTTTTTTTTTTTCATCACCAAGCCACTGGTCTGCCATTTTTTAAAATTTTATCTATTTTGGCTCTACAGATTCTTTAACTTAAGGATTCCATCACCAAATTGTCCTCTTTATCCTTTTCAGCACTGGTTTCATCCCTCCTAGGACTCTGTCAATTACAGCAGTGCTAACTCTAGTTTGAATTGATTACACTCCACACATCCCTATATGTAGCCAGGAGACCTACTCATTGCTACTTGTTTAAAGATTTTTTTTCATTCCCATCTTTGTTTCTGCCACTTAGGCCTTTTTATGCCTGTGGGTTCTACAAACTTGTTTGGTACTGGACATGGGTATACCAAACACACACTGCAACATCTGACCTTATATCTGGATTTTTTTTTTATTTCTTTTTTTCACCATTTCTTCTTTAGTTTCTGCTTCTAATTTTCACTGGTGAAGTTATTGGACATACTTCTTTTTGACTGATTTCAGTTAAAATGTACCATGACTCATGAACTTGGCAACCTTTTTCTGTTGTTTAAACAAGCTTGCTTGTCAAGCAGGTTTGCCCAATATCACAAGTCTGTTGACAGAGAATTGCTGCTTCTTATCCAGGATGAGATCAGATGACTTAACAAGTAAGATGGACCAGAGCCATGAAGTTCAGATCAGAATCCAAACTTTTCCCTAATTCAAAGATGTTTGAAATGAGTTCTGCTGTGATCCTTTCATAAGGAAAGGCCTAAACTGTAAAGTTCAGATGTGACTCCAAATTCTCCCATTACTCAGGAGTCTTCTAATCTGTTTTATGAAGTGAATGCAGCTGGAGAAACCTATTCAGATGAAGAAAAATCCACAGATCTTGAATCAAAACTTTGTGTAAAACAGACTAATTTAGGGTATGTCTACACTGCAAAGTTAATTCAAAATAACAGCCATTATTTCAAATTAACTTAAATAGCGTCTATACATGCAAACCGCTATTTTGAAATTAATTCGAAATAGCGGAGCACTTAATTTTAATTTGGTAAACCTCATTCTATGAGGAGTAATGCCAAATTCGAAATAGCGAACCCAGGAGCAGGTTTGCATGAAAATCAAGATGGTCCGGCGAGACCCCCAACCCTGGGCCCTGAGCTGCCCCTTCCCCTTCTTCCCCTTGCTTCCCCCTTCCAGCTCCCTCCTCCCAGATTTCTCCCTCCCCTCTCCCACTCTCTCTCTTCCCCTCTCCCACCTCCTTTTCCCAGCCTCACCAGAGGTTCATCCCCCCCTCCACCTAGTTTTATTCAATAAACCCAGTTTCTATTTTTGAATATACGTGTCTTTTGTTTGACATCAGGAAGGGGGGTTAGGGAGGGATAAGTGGAAGGACATGAGGGAGGAATGGGACACGAGCCCTCGGTGGGGAGGGGCCCTGAGCTGCCCCTTCCCCTTCTTCCCCTTGCTTCCCCCTTCCAGCTCCCTCCTCCCAGATTTCTCCCTCCCCTCTCCCACTCTCTCTCTTCCCCTCTCCCACCTCCTTTTCCCAGCCTCACCAGAGGTTCATCCCCCCCTCCACCTAGTTTTATTCAATAAACCCAGTTTCTATTTTTGAATATACGTGTCTTTTGTTTGACATCAGGAAGGGGGGTTAGGGAGGGATAAGTGGAAGGACATGAGGGAGGAATGGGACACGAGCCCTCGGTGGGGAGGGGCCCTGAGCTGCCCCTTCCCCTTCTTCCCCTTGCTTCCCCCTTCCAGCTCCCTCCTCCCAGATTTCTCCCTCCCCTCTCCCACTCTCTCTCTTCCCCTCTCCCACCTCCTTTTCCCAGCCTCACCAGAGGTTCATCCCCCCCTCCACCTAGTTTTATTCAATAAACCCAGTTTCTATTTTTGAATATACGTGTCTTTTGTTCAAGACAGGACTGCTTTGGCTCTTGTTTGAATTGACAGGGAACCCTGGGAACCCTGAGAACTGTCTGTCCAGGGTGGGGGTAGGGTTCCTTTAAGCATGGAGCTCAGTTAGCCTCAGGCAACAGCCCCACTCACTAAGTCCTAACCTGATGCCCTGCTAGCACTGGTTCCAGCCAGCCTTAACTTCGGTTCAGGGTCTTTCGAAATAGTTTTTGTGTATAGATGCGTTATTTTGAATTAGCGTAATTCAGATTAACTATTTTGAATTAGCTTAATTCGAATTAATGCTGTAGTGTAGACATACCCTTAGTGTTAAATACTACACACTTTTTGAGCATGTGACTGATTTCTATTCAAATAACAGAGATCTATCCTAATAGCGTGTTGATAACCCAGCCATAAACTGGAATTTCTGAAAATCTCATGAAAACTATTTCTCGTGAGATTTTCAGTTGAACTTTTCAGGTTTTGGTTGATCACATAAAGCTCAAATGAGCACAAGAATTTTTAGTCGCAGATTCAAATCTCTGAACCATTTTGGGGATTTGATTCATCACTAATACTGATATATTAATAACCCTCAGATTGAACCACATCATTCACATGACAGTGTTTCAAAAGTATACCTTACAGAACACATTTTAATAATAGAAGTGCTGTAATGAACCTTTGTAATTTTTAATAACAAAGACAGCTGTTGTGTTGTACAAAGCACTCTTGCATTGACAAATTTTGAATGTGTTTCATCCAAGAAGAAATACAAGTTTATAATTGTGAAACTGAAATGGTTTTGGAAACCACACTAAATTGTGTAATTGTAGCTTGATACTTTATATAATCCATGCAAATTAATGTAACCTGTTTGGAGCTTTCTGAAGTTTACTTCAGGCCAGGACTTAAGCTTTTTCCTACCCTAGCAATAAAAGAGGGTGTATCATGTGGGCTGCTCTAGCTAGCAGTGTGATCTCCATTCGCCTGGCATGGGGTAGACTTCTCACCTTCTTTCTTCTGAGTGTGAGGCCAGAATCCACCCAAGAAATCCCATCCACACCATTAACTGTCACTTGAATTAGCAATTGACTGATTGAGAATCCAAACTGCCCCAGATCTAGTCTCTTTAGGATGAGATTTCAGGTACATCTAGACTGCTGAGTTCAGTATCCCAGAAAAAAAATTCGGAAAAGCAGACACATTTTTTCAGCATCCTGAAAACCTCATTCTATAAGGAAGAAGGGATTTTTCAAAAGAGGCTTTTTTTCTGACATTTGGCCCCGTGTAGACAAGCCAATCGACAGAAAAGCCTCTTTCAGAAGAAAAGTGGAAAAAGGTTTGCTACTTGCGCATCTTTTTCAGATAGAACTTTGTAATCTAGACACAGCCTCAGTATGCTGAGTCCACATCTGCGTGGGTGTCTGACTGCCCCTGGGTTGACTTCTTTACCAGTGGGTTCCATCAGTCCTGCTCCTTGCTTTCTCTCCAGATGCTGCCGCAACATACAAGTTCCTTGTCACCCACCCACCCACAGAGACGCAAAGAACACTGTGCCTCTGCCCTCGCAGTAACCCATCCACGATCTCCTTCCTTCTGTGGTTCTGACTCTCCAGAGCAGTGTTGGTGCAGGTTCCCAGGGGGCTGCAGGCTCAGGCTGCTCCCTGGACCTGTTCCCCAACCCAGAGATAGATCTCAGTCAGTTTGATCCTTGCAGCAGCCAAACCCACCCAACGTTAACACCATCTCATCCTTCCACTTCTTTCCAGCCTGTCTTGTCAAGGAAAATGAGCTGAAATTTCCTTCAATCTCTTCCTAGTTCCTGTTTGCTCCCCTGTTGGTCAGGGCTTTGGGGAATGTGAATGCACACCTCCACAGTGAACTCTTCATCCAGGTATTGTCAAGGGAATTTTCTAAACAAAGTTTCTCCAACCACAGTCTATTAACAATCATGGTGCTGGCTCCCATTTTCAGCAGTAAGCTGCAATAAGAGAAGACTAATTTCCTAATATATATATATTGTAGTTGGCAAGACAAAGTGACATAGTCATCTTAGACAGATCACCTCCCATTGGCAATCCTTCCATGCTCCCTGTAAGCTGAGCTCTTGGGCCCAGGAGAGATTCAGATCTGCCCAGCTGATTAGCAAAGTACCCACAGCCTCCCAGTCCGGAAGCATGTGTTTATATTGGTGGTGCATATCCGCACATACCTCGGTGCAAATAACAAAATTTATTCTGCACATGGATGGAAAAAAATTGACCACATTATAGGGAACATTGCTCCCCACTCTCTCAAAAATCTTGGGAACCTTGATATAAAACAAAGATTCTAGGAAATATGTATGATCTTCTAATCTGTTGGGGATGGGCTGTCAGAGATCCTAGGGTAGATTCCTATCTCATTCAGTAACTCAGCCCTTTAACTCTATCCCTCCATTTTCTCATCTATAAAATGGCTTTAATGATGCTTGTGAAGATCGTTCAGTTGGCAGGCTTTTTTTCTAAATGCTACCCTTTAGCACTACTATTCCTTTTCCTCCTCTCTCTACTGGATTCCTTTTTTTCTTCATGTATTAGCATATAAGGAGTTATAGATAAATAATGTCTTACTGAGTAATTCCAGGTATATTCAGGGGCAAGTTTCCATTCTTTCCTGTTTGTAAGCTTGCTTATTACCATCTGGAATCAGGAGGAAAAAAGTTTTAGGGGCTTTTAACATAGGGTTTAACTAATTTCTAATTATCTCTGAGTAGTGCTGTAATTTCCAGCAGCGGCACATTTATTATTGGTGCTGCTAATAATTATACATGCCAGTGTAAAAATATTAGTTCAGCCTATAGATTTAGATAAATGAAAATAGAGACCTTCTATTTTAGAAGACAAGGAGAACATGTGGATTAAAATATGGGCTTTTGGGTGTAAATCTTGTAGCAGCAGGATGGCTTGTGATCTTAACAATCTTGAATTTGTTATCCTCCAGATTTCCTTGCTGTCCACAGTGTTTCCTCAAAAATGCAGGTGAGCAGGAAGCGTGAATACAGCAGAACCTGCTGTTGATGTTGTTCCTGAGCCCTCCGTTCGGAATTTCTGAGGTGTGTTTGTGCCAATGGGCATACCTGTCTCTGTTCCCTAGGCACGTTGTAACAGCTCTCGTTTCTCAGTACACACTTTCAGCCATGTTTCCATGCTAAAGCAAGGCCTACAACGTGACTTTATACACAGTGCCAGATTTTGTTAAGCACACAAAAGAACCCTGGTGCCAATATGTTACTAATTGTCTCTTCTGGCTGTGTCAGAGTTTGTGGGACAGCCAAATGTACAGATCAGTATAATTGTTAATCTTCTGCTTAAGGTACCACACTTTCTTTGTTACCAAACATGTTGGCTCCTATCTTGATTTTCTGTGCAGTCCAGACAGTTATCATTAATAATGCTTTTTCTACTTCTTCCTCAATAAGAGTCTAACAATTTATGTGTTGCCTTCCAAAAGTGCAGCATTTTATGTCCTTTGAAAGAGCTAAGTGTCTGGCTGATTTGCCCCATATTTAATAGTGAAGATGATACATTTGCTGCACTATATCCAGAAGGAAAACTTTATGGCCCTGATCCTGCAAATATTTATGCATGTGCTTAATTTTAAGCACATGTGCAGTCCCATATTTTTACTCCTATCTGTGCATTAAGTTAAGCACATGGATAAGTGCTTTCAGAATGGAGGCCCAAAACTCCAGCTTATCTTGGGCTTGTCTACACAGGTTAACATTCATTTTTATGAGTGTTCATACAACAGCTTAATGAGTTTAATTAACTGTTGGTGTGACTTAAAAACATTTAATTCAAATTAACTTTCCTGAGTTTCCATGTCCCCTTTTCACTTTCTTGGAAGAGGTCTTCATTTCATTATCCTTCTGCTCACATGGAGACTGATCCTTCTTACCTTTACTCATGTGAGTAGTCCTATTTAATTCAAGGGGACTGTGCATATGACTAAGACTTTGGTAGTCATTAACTTATATAGAATCCTCTGAGTTCTTCCCTGATAACCTTTGCCCCCCTAAAAGTTAAGAGAAGCATGTCCACCAAATTTCTTTATGCAGAAGACGGTCATTCAGTATATACTCCGCAGATCCTCACCTGATGTAAATCAGTATAACTTTATTGATTTCAATGGTGCTATAGCAATTTACACCAACTTAGGTTCTGACCCTTAGTTTATTTTCTGTTTAGTGACACCTTAATCTCACCATGATTTACTAACTTGTTCACACCCTCTCCATGAACCCAATCTAAAACCTCAATTATTTGATCATCCTTAAGAATTGCTAATTAAAAAAACAGATGTTTAAAAATCTATTTTGATGTTTTCCATTTGGCAGAGTATTATGTTATGAATAATATAATATGCACTTCAAGATCTTGTTAATTTTGATGTGATAATGAACGGGAATTCCTAGTGGAGTTTCTGAATGGTATTAGCTCAACAGTTATATGATTAAGTAATAAGACCTGCTGAGACAGGCACTTCTTGAGGATGATTGACTGCTGTAATTGACTGACATCCAGAGGTAAAGTCAAGGGCACCGATTTACAGATCAGGTTAGTTATCTCCTGGTAATGCCCACCTGGTATGTCTTATTGGTATGCTAATATTAACTGTTATTAAAACATTTTAATGACTTTTAATTTAAAAGTGGTAAATTTAAATTATACATTTTCAAATAATGGGAATTGAAACATTCTGATTCTTTAAAAGGGATCTAAAAGTTTTGTTTTGCATACCAATTCTTGAAGAGATCATTTTGGTTCATCTTCAGGGAAAAGTAAGTTTTGTTCAGCATTATCAGTGAGCAAGTATGAAATACCCAGAAATTCCTGAACAACCCACAGAGCCTGAAAAATGAGTGGTCACGGCCATATCTTAATTTCATACCTGGAAAAGCCACCTTAGGGAGACAGAATAATGATGTTGGAGCCTGCTGTGGAGATAGTGGATGAGCTAGAATGTGCCTATTACCTACGAGTAGATGCTTGTCAACATTAAACGAACTGAAATGCGAGTCGTGTAAGTTTTTACACTGAGGAGCATGTTTTCAAACAAAAAATGAACCTGGGAGTGATTGAGTGCTCTGGCTAAAAGCATGCTTTGACACAAGTATGCATGATGCTATCAAAGCCAAGACTTTAACAGGGTTCAAAAAAGAACTAGATAAATTCATGGAGGATAGGTTCATCAATGGCTATTAGGCAGGATAGGCCAGGATAGGAAAGGGCAACAGGAGAGCCAAGCTTCTGTATCTGCAGTAATCTGGTGGGACCAATTTTGCAGTTGCATTTAAGGTGATATTATCTCTTCTGTTATAAACTCTAGGTCCTGAAATGATCTGTTCCAAAAGAACTTCTCTTTAGAAGAAGCATGGCTCTTTAGCTAGGTCATCACTTGGGAGTTGGGGAAAACTGAGTTTCTAGTCTAAGCTCTGCTACTATGTGTCCTTGATCAAGTTTACTCCCCATTTCTGTGCCTCAGCTTCTCTATCTGTAAGGGTACGTCTAGACTACATGGCTCCGTCGACGGAGCCATGTAGATTTGTTGTTTTGGAAAAGGGAAATGAAGCCGCGATTTAAATGATCGCGGCTTCATTTACATTTACATGGCTGCCGCGCTGAGCCGACAAACAGCTGATCAGCTGTTTGTCGGCTCGCCGCTAGTCTGGACGTTCCCCCTGTCGACATCAAAGCCCTTTGTCGGCAGCCCCGGTAAACCTCATTCCACAAGGAATAACGGGGCTGCCGACAAAGGGCTTTGATGTCGACAGGGGGAACGTCCAGACTAGCGGCGAGCCGACAAACAGCTGATCAGCTGTTTGTCGGCTCAGCGCGGCAGCCATGTAAATGTAAATGAAGCCGCGATCATTTAAATCGCGGCTTCATTTCCCTTTGCCTACAACCCTCATCTACATGCCTCTGCCGACAGAGGCATGTAGTCTAGACACAGCCTAAATGACAGGCAGCAGTATCCGCCCTCCTTTCTTTTGCAAAGTGCTTTGAGTTCAGTGGATGAAAACTGCTGTCCTAAGTATTAAATCACATTAAGCTTAACATTTAGGGTAAGTCTATACAGCAGGGCTTAACTTAAAATAAGCTATGCAAATTGATCTACGGCAATTGTGTAGCTTAAGTCAAAATAGCTTAATTTGAAATTAGGAGCATCTACACAGTACTTATTTTGAGAGAGAGCACTCTTTCGCCGACTTCCCTTACTCCTCATACAAAAAGGGTTACAGGAGTCAGAGTAAGAAGTCCTCTAGCTTGACAGTATTTCGACATTATTTTGAAATAACTGCCTGCTGTGTAGACGCAGACTAAGTTATTCCAGAATAATGCTAGTTATTTCGAAAGAATGTTGCTGTGTAGATGTACCCTTAGCATTTACACTGCACCGTTAAGTCAAGATAACTAGCATTATTTCGAAATAACAATGCGAGCGTCTACACGGCCATTCTGTTATTTAGAAATAATTTTAAAATAATGGACGGCTTATTCTGAAGTCTGTTAACCTCATTCTATGAGGAATAATGCCTATTCCAAAATAGCTATTTTGAAATAAGGCGTGTGTAGACGCTCCACTGCTGCTATTTCAAAATAGTCTCTCACCAGGGCCATTCTAAGTTATTCCTCCCCAGTGCCTCCTGAGGCTCTACACATCTAGCACATCTACATTGAAGGGAAGCCACAAAAGTAGTCCGAGGCAGGCTATTTCAGAATAACTATTCCGTGCAGTGTAGATGTACCCTTAGTGTACAAATGTTTACGCTACACATTAAGACAAATCAATACATTGTAAAGACAACTCCTGAGCTACAAAATGCCTGAATTACATCTTTATCACTGCTGTAAACATGAATTGCAATAATTAAGAACTATGTTGATGCAGGATTCATTTTTATATTCTTTGGATACTTTAAAATACCCTTTTTATGCCCTTGAATTTAGAATAATTTATGGTAAAGGATCGAGAGTAATGTGAAGATGAGCTTTGCGCCACTCTTGACCCCTGCCATGAAGTTATTCAAAACTCAATGAGAGATCAATTCCAGTGCAAACCATACTGAAGTCCTAATCTGTGAGCTGTCATCAGCCTGTAGCGAGTTTGGAACATGCCATATAGAGGCATGGCAGATGTTGTAAATCATGCTTCTTCTTTCTTGCTTTCTCTTCAGGAATCTAACCTTATTGTAATGTGTAAGAATAGGGTCAAGTCAACGTCAGTCAATAGCCATTTTTGGATTGCTTCATTTTGCCTGACCATGCACTAATTGGTCCCTTAATGCATCATTTAATCTCTCTCCATACAGGCGTTGCTCTGTTAATTTCTGTAATCTAGCCACCTATTAAAACATTATTTCATTTTCTTTTTGAGTCCATTTATATAAGGAAAAACTCTCAACAATCGCCAGTGACTTTGGGGGTTTTATAGAACTTCCATAAGCCCAGAAAACATTTTGTCTCTTGGTTTAATAAAACTTGTTTATATTTTAACCACTATTACACTTGGTAGAAGAGTGTTGTTTTCTCATTGTTTATACCATTAGCAATTAGATACTACTCCGGTTTCTTGATATAGCTGAGCCAGGCCTCTACTAAGTGATCAAACAAGTCAATTTTGAAAAGACAGAAATTTTAAACCTCTTATTCCCTTTACAAATGAACAGTTTACTCACAGTCCCAATGGCTGCAGGCTTCAGTTTCACTTTCCCTAGGCCTCTGCAGTCCCATCCATCCTCACAATAGGTTGTAGTCTTTTGTTCTTTACACAGCAATGATATGAATGAACCCTTCAGGCACATTGTTCTGTTTGCTACCTCTTTGACCACTTGAAATACACCTTTTCTTAGTTAATACATTTATTTCTGGTTTATAATACAACCCAGTTTATGTAATTTCTAAGGGAGGGAGGATGAGAGACTGTACATACCTTCCTTCTCATTGAGGAAGGAGGACTTCATGCTTTTGGGTTTGTGAATGAGTGGGGGTGAACATCCCAGTGCTGTAATAAATGTCTTAAGCTGAGTTTATGCAGAACTGATCTCAGGGACTGTATCTGCAGCTGGCTGTGACCCTGCCTGTATGCTTTGCTGGAAGAAGCTGGAGAACCTGGCTTAGCAAGACCAGGTAAAAGGGGACCTGGGTTCACTGACTAGGCAGGTTCAGTGATATCTTTAAGCACTTCAGTTGGCCTTCTAGGGGTCCCAAACCGTCACAGGGGTGATCAAAGTCTAATTCATAGAATCATAGAACCATAGAACTGGAAGAGACCTCAGAAGGTCATCAAGTCCAGCCCCCTGCTCTAGGCAGGACCAATCCCAACTAGATCAACCCGGCCAGGGCTTTCTCAAGCCAAGACTTAAACACCTCTAGGGATGGAGACTCCACTACTTCCCTAGGTAACCCATTCCAGTGCTTCACTACCCTCTTAGTGAAATAGGTTTTCCTAATATACAACCTGGACCTCTCCCACCACAACTTGAGACCGTTGCTCCTTTTTCTGCCATCTGTCACTCCCGAGAACAGCCTCTCTCCATCCTCTTTGGAACCTCCCTTCAGGAAGCTGAAGGCTGCTATCAAATCCCCCCTCATTCTTCGCTTCTGCAGACTAAACAGACCCAACTCCCTCAGCCTCTCCTCATAAGTCATGTGCTCCAGCCCCCTAAGCATTTTGGTTGCCCTCCACTGGACCCTCTCCAATTTTATGTGGGGTTTTCTTTTTTCAAAATGTAGTAGTAGCAAATCATTGACCATTCTGAAATGGGCTCTGGTCCTGCAATGATCTCCAGGGAAGCACCTCTCTCAGCTCCATGCAGAACCCCTCCGTTGTGTTCATAGTAGGATCAGAACTTAGGATGTCAGAACTTAGGTATGCCTGATGGCTTATTGTAAGGTCCTATATCACTAGACAAATTAATGTTCCACTGAGACAGCATGTTCTCCACAATGCAAGTTTATGAACATGCACAAATCTTTTGTACCGCCGTTCTCATACACTCGTCTCTAAATGTAGTGTTGTCCATTCTTATGAGAGACTTTGAAGAAGGATGCCATGCTGCCACAGTCAAGCACAACTCATTTATGCCTCAGCCTTATATTTTATTTTAGCTTTATTGCTTTATTTCATATGGCAGGATCACTGACAACTCCACATTTCAAACCATTGGAGCTGCAAGAACACAGGGAAATATTATTTGTGCCTAACTATTCAGCAGTAATATAGATTACCTCAAGCAAGGCCATTTGCTGTGTATCTGCAGATAACTTAGCACATTATCTGTTACAGCTCTGCAATTCATTCTTGTTCTCTCTCTCTTTTATCACATTACAATATGTGTAGTCACTTAGAAGTGCATTTTTTAAAACATTGCATGTGTGATATGTGCAGGAGGGGAAACTAAGAAGCAAATATCTGAAATGTTTTTGAGCACACAGCTCCATGTCTCGGTTATTTTGACAGTTCACCTCTTCATGTCATCTGTCTCTCAGTCATCTTGAGTCCTACTGTGTTATCTCAAAACAACATATTTGGAGTCATTATCTCCTTTTAAAAATATCCATATATTTATTTATTATAGTCAAAGTAGATATGTCTGCCTACAGAAAATATTGGTTGGTTAATTCTTGTTTCACTACCTCTTTAGAGTTCTCTCTCCCCTATTGGTAGCCAGGGAAAAGGTCCATATTCTAATTAATCCACTTAGTGCACAGGGTCAAGGTCAAGAGATCCATCTGCATCTGGATACTACACTTCTAGCTTCATCGTGATTTCACACACATTCATGATGTAGCCTATTGTTAAACTTCTCCTTCCAGATTGTGAAAGATAACAAGGTAGCTAAGAATAGGCAGAGATGACAGTGGTATAAAATATTAATATAGCTTTATACAAAGCAATCTGCAGACTTCCTGCAAATGCTATTGTGTTTTATAGTTTATCATATTAAAGGGACGCAATCAGCTTGCAGTCTAGCCCATTTCAAGAGTTACCTGTAGATGTAGGTACTGCTTCAGCCAGTGAGTACCCTGCTAATTTTTTAGAACCAAGTTTTAATGTTTTTTGTTGCTGGGAAAAGGGAGACCTACTCAAACAAAAGGGGAACAGAGTGAATAAGCATTTACAGTGAAATTGTCCCCATTACAATGAAATTGTCTAAATACACAATGCTGTAAAATGCACAAAGTAAATACACCCACGGGTGAGGGGATAAGAAGAAATATTTTCTCCTATGTCTCTGTGTAAAATTGCTATTGTTTTGTTAAAAGTAACACAAGTAAGTAAATGTATTGTACAAAAGTGTCTTTTTTTTAAGTTTCATCCTTTAAATGATAGGATTAAAAGGAATAACATACCAGGCTGACTGATTTTTCTGAACATTTTATTATCCTGTCTTGGCATGGAATTCATTTGCCACGTTGTCCTAGTTTCCATTTCCTGTGTTTGAAACAATAACTTAGTAAGACAAATTATACATGATTATTTACATTTTTTCAGATTCTTCTAGGCACTTGTTTGGTAGGCTGTGTTGGGGCAGGTCCCATATTACAAGCGTTGATTACTATGCCAATGAGATGATGTAATGATAGTACGGGAGTGACTATGTAAATACATGTGTCAAGACTCGGAGCATGAACAGAGTCTCATTCAAATCCATTGTAGCCAATGGACTCCTATTGATCAGACTCCCATCCTAAGAGAGTGTCTGCATTGCAATTAAACATTGGTGGCTGGCTCATGTCAGCTGACTGATTCAAGGGGATCAGGCTGCCGGGTTCTAAACAATTTTGTAGAGGTGTTTGGGACTATAGGGCCTTACGAGGTAAATGGATCCCAGAGCTCAGGTTTCAGCCCGCACCAAACAGAAACCTCAGTGGCCCGTTTGACCTGGCTTTTCTTATAATTAGGACAAGTACTATGTTTTCTCTGTCTCCAACTCAAATCCTGAGTGCTTGCTAAAGAGTACAGCTTTGTGCAGGCCTGGGCAAAATAAGGCCCGCAAGCCATTTCCAGCCCACCAAGCCCCTGGATCTGGCCCAGGAGGCAGTAGGGAGTGGAAGGCAGACTCCCCTGCTTGCCCCACAGCCCCATGTGCCATGCATAAAAGTGGCTGCAGGACTCCATTTCTGTTTCGAAACTGGGAGGAGGGGAGTTTTAGGAGCCTTCCCACCCCCAGCAACATTCCCATTGGCCCGTTTCTGGCAGAAACCAGCCAATGCAAGCTACTTGTTAGAATAACAGACAGCTAAGAAGAATCACACCCCCTCTCCTGGGCTCAGTTATTCATGAAGCACATGGCCCGGCAAGCTGGTTGGCTGGGAAACATTTTAAGCTTGGCAGGCAGGCAGGCTAGTTTGGCAGCTGACAAGTAAGTCTCTTGACCACAGCCTGCTTCTGGCACCTCAGCCCTTTCCTGCCCCAACTCTCTGCCTCCCCTCCCCCACTTAACATACCCAACCCCTCTGTCCCCCTCTTACACTCATACCCCCTCCTACATCTAGCACCCCAAACTCCTGCTCCAGATCACAATCCCCTCCTACCCTAGGTCACATCCCAAACCCCTGCACTCCAGTCTCCTGCCCTAGGTCTCAACCACCTGCTTCATCCCAACTCCCTCCCAGACTCCAATCTCCCTCCTGCACCCCAGTCCCTTACCCCAAGCTCCCCTCTGCCCTCAACCTCCATTCCAGACCCCGCATCTCCATCAATATTAGAGTGCGACCCTCGACCACTTTCCATAATCTAAGAGTGGCCCCTCCATCAAAAATTATTGTCCACCCTTGTCTTAGTTCCATGAAACACCTAAGGAATATGGACTCAGAAGAACTGTAGTTGTCAAACAGACTGACATTGCAATGTTTTGAAACCATCCAGAAGTAAAGTGTGGCTACCGCTAAGTGCAGGAGGAGAGGTGTTTTGTCTAAACAATCCGCCTTGCTCCCAAGACCTGTTATGTTTCTGTAAAGATTATCTAGCAACCAGAGAAACCAAAACAGTGCTGCCCCCACTAGCTCCACAGCTGGGAACAAAACAAGAGGAGGTCTGAAATAACTTTCCTTTCCTTCTTATGCTGCTGGAACACCTCCACTTCCCTCCTAGCCTTCCCCAAAATGCATTTAAAAGAGCTGGCAGAGGTGAGGCCTATGATCCTATCCACATTAGCCCATAGAGCTAGCCATGAAGCAGTTGGACCACAGGCTATCCATGCACTTGGTGCTATGTGTGTATATTCCTTCTCCAAACTGATGATTTAGGAAGACGGATTTCTGCCTCTTCCATCTGTAAAGGAAGGTGAATTAATCTTACCTCTCTGGTAGAGCTGCTAGAAAGATAAATCTGTATTAATACAGTCCTTTAACAAAAACAAAAAGGTATCCAATCCTATTTATGATATCTAGGATGTTTGTATCTGGTGTCCACCCTCTGGATATTACAAAAATATAAAGTAAGTTATAAAAGCTAGATTTAGGTTAAGGATAGTAAAAGATTCGTGGAGACCAAATATTAATGGCAATGGATATATGAATTAATCATAAGTTAGTACCATAAGGAGAACTGGTTTGGTTTGGTTTAAAATAGGTTCTACATTACAATGAGACTGTTTCAGACCTCAGAAGTATGATGAGGGTCTCAAATTTATTGGGTGGATTCTGCAGTTATTTTAAAGAATAGTCTTCTCTAGTAAAAAAACATTGAGGAATCCTGTGGTACCTTGAAAACTAACAGATTTATTTGGGCATAAACTTTCACTGGTAAAAACCAGTTTGTCAGAAGCAAGTGGTTTTTACCCACAAAAGCTTATGTCCAAATAAATGTTAGTTTTTAAGGTGCCACGGGATTCCTCATTGTGTTTGCAGATACAGACTAATATAGCTTCCCCTCTGAGAGTTCTCTGCTAAGGCCAACTTTAAAAGATATTCTTCAGCAATGCTGACCTATACCTGTGTGATCCTGTACTTGCTAAGAGTTATGCTACTGAACTGAAAAGAAGGGCATCAGTTATGTGGTATGACATATGGATCTCTGAATAATAAAACATGGATTCAAAAATCTAGTATGAATGGTACATCTGATTGCATTTAGAAGATTCCTTCACTGCAAAGAGTAAGAATTGAAGCCCCAATACGGGACTTACGAAAGCAATTTAACATGTGGCTTCCATCCAGTTTCCCTAGCATTTTCCCCTCTTTGTATGAAACAATAACAACAACATATTGCATGCATGGGATTGTGGCTAAAAATAATAACTGGGCTGAGCAGCTGGAACAGCCGTCGTAGTTTAGTAGCAAATCACTGGCCTCGGAGGCTAGAGACCCAGATTTAATTCAACCAATGGGTTTTCCATGTAAGACTCCTGTATTTATTGCTATGTAATTCTGTTTACCCCAGAGAAGCATATAATGGCTTCCAGTCAGGCTTTGTAATATAGTCTGTGATTCTTAAACAGCAGGACTCTTGTTAATCTTTTTTTCCGTTGTTATTGACACATCTCCCCAATACCCTCTAGGAAAATTATCCTACATCTGAAATGTTGGATTCTGCCTAGGTCTTATCTTTTTCTAACTCTGGAATGTTCTTATTTCCACTCCAGAGCTCTCCTCGTCGTTCTCTGCTTGCTTGAGTCGTCACTTGTGATTTCTGTTCTTTCTGCTTTAAGAATAAAACACTACCTTCAGAGATATCAGTAAGAGAGGTCCCTCAAAGCTGACTAAGGAGCGGTCCAGATGTAGGCAGGAACTCAATATGGGAATCCCCCCTCCAGTACCCAAGAACCTACCTCACAGTGGTTGAAAGAAAGTGGCACAGAGCTAGATTCTCAGCAGGTGTCAATTGGATATTGCTCCACTTATCTTCTTCTGGTGCAAGACACTGCTTCTGTGGAATTCTTATATTCTTATTTCAGTTGCAATGGAGCTGTGCCAGTTTATACCCTACTTGAGGATCTGGTCTGCAGTCTTCTTCATCCATGCCCAGTGCCATGAAAACCTCACATCCCCAAATAAGGAAACCCTATGATCTTTATTTATCTCATTTGTTTTCAGTGGCGACACCCAGAGACTTCAGTAGTCGAAGCTGTTGAAAGTTTATCTTAGAATCAAGCAACAGGTGTTAAAAAGGTTATTAATGTTTTCCAAGTAAAATTCTGTTTACTTCTCAAAGTCTCCGTCAAGTCTGTTTGATGGGTATTCATCGCCAAATTCTCTGTAAACTAAGTACAATTAATCTAGGTAGCAGATTTTCTGATATAATTTGTGACACATAATTAACAGATCAGAGGAGGGTCTCTTTTTCTATTATCTGACATTTTCAGAGTAACTACACTTGAATTCTGCTGCTCTTTATTAATACATATTCACATTTTATCAGCTTTGCAGATTTGAATGTTACGCCATTCTCAATACTGGATTACCCTGAAATAAAATAAAATTGTAGGAGTTTCCCTATGAAATGTTACTCTAATAGTAATTGTTACATCCTGATCTATCACTCCCTATGGTACTTTGGAAAAATATGACTCTGTATCCCCATCATATTAGAAATGCAGAGGAGTAGGGAGGAAATCATATTACTGACAGAATGGGGATGTGTCAAACAATGTTGCTCTCAAAATAGTCAAACATGTGGTCATAGCAGTGTAGCTGGTGTGCAGTTCTCACTGGTACTTTGGAAAATCTGGTGCCTCTTTTACATGTGTAGAAACATGCTAGCCTTATATTAATTAATCACAGTTAGATCTTGCATGTTGTGTTTCTGTACAGCACAGTTATGTGAGATCTTTTGAGGTTCTCTGTTCAAACAGATCTCTGTTTAATTTGAAAGGAGATACTCAGGGCTGTTACATTTTTTAAGCAAATCATAAATATTAACTTACGGGACTGATTTTTCAAGAAGTCATTGTGCATCTAACTTGTGCATACTATTTATAAAGTGCATTCTTATAACTAAGGACCAAGTTCAGCCACCTCTGCTCATTGTTGCTTTGTGAAAAGCTCTTTGGGGGGAGGCAGTGTCTGCAATGTAAGATTACAATTCAGTGAGCGCAAATGTGGCAGAATCTAACTCTAAATCCTCAGCTGGTGTTGAAGGAGGGCTAATCAGCCTGAGGGCTGGACCATTAGCTAAAGTAGATTGGCTTTAATATGCCTATGTCACTATGCAATAGGAGTTTGCATCAGCTGAAGATCTGGTCCCTCTTTTACATGAGTAGAAACATGCTAGGCTTATATTAATTAATCACAGTTAGATCTTGCATGTTGTGTTTCTTTACAGCACAGTTATGTGAGATCTTTTGAGGTTCTCATAGTTAGAGCTTAGACTCTATCCTTGGAAAATGTTTTCTGAATGTATTACAGGTGCAGCTACAACCATGAAGTAGTGAAATTTAGAAGAAACCATACAACAATGTGTATTTAGTAACATTTATATCCTGCAGATCG